ATGTCCTTCTTATCTAGAGGATGTAAACAGTTTATCAGTTATATTCTCTTGGATTGATACCATTACCTTAAACTGAGTGAAAATAAGCACTGAGAGCAGTGGGATTGATAGCTATGAGAATGAGATTTCTATTCAAATTTTTAACCAGGCTTTGGTAATTGTGCGTTACATGTGTTACATACAGTTGAGTCAACTTGGAGTTGTTAGTGAAGACTGCAGGTGGTAGCTCCTTGATTTGGTTTCCATATAAGTTCCTAAGAAATTGACATAACTAAATTAAAGATCTCTCCTAAATAGGTAATTATGATTCCAAGAGTGTGTCTGTATTATTATGTCCTTTTGACCATTTTGTTTTAATTGGTTTATAGAAATAAGAAAAGATAACATTTAAAAAGTGTTATGAGTACCTAAAAAGTATTATAAATACCTAAGAATTGAACATAACTAAATTTAACATCTCTCCTAAATAGGTAATTATGATTTTGAGAGTGTGTCTATGTTATTGTGTCCTTTTGACCAATTCTTTTTAATTGACCCATAGTAATAGAAAAGATAACATTTAAAAGTGTTATGAAGTCTCTTCATTTAATTCATTCCATTTTCACTGCATTATTTCCAGTGGGGAAGGACTAGAAAGGAACATAGGAACCACTCGTGCTAGTCCACCCCCCACCTATCCCACCTTAGGGGAGGACATTCATCACACAGTAATCTCGTGTGTGGGAAATTAATGTCTCTTACCCCAAATACTGACAAGTATCAAATGAGTAAATTCATAACATTTATTAACACACTAAAATGCTGAAAAAAGAGAACTTCGTTCGAAATAGAAAATAACCCCAGCCTCTTTTTGGATTTCTCAACAAATGATACCTTCGGAACGAGACAAACTTTAGTGCGTTTTCAGGCTTATTTTCGGTAATTGCTAAAATCTCGCTCACCTGATGGTAATAAAGCTTTATTTGATTCAATGACACCGATCAAAAATGAAATTTACCTAATTACAAAGTTTTATGACTCCCCTCCACAAGAAAGAAAAACCCTCTCAACTGTATTTCGTTTTCAATGTGTGGCTCTGTAGCCCGGTTAGTAGTAGCGCTGAAGTAGTATGTGGGAGGCACGGGTTTAAGTCCTGTTCAAGCCTGAAGTAGATCTAGGCTTCAGATAATGGACAAATATCAGGCCATTTCTTGCAAGGCGAATAAAAGCTATTCTTTATTTAATTGTGGTAAGTGGCTGATGACTGCTGTGATATCTCCTCTATCAGGTTCCTTAAATCTATTGATGGAGGACATATCCTGGATTTAGGTTAAACATTTTACATATCGTATATTTTTTTCGTGTCTTTCTCTTCTGGCCAACGTAAATTGAAATATTGCAATAATTTTCCGTAAACTATTTTGGACACCTTACATATTTCGAGAGCCAGACAAGGTTTTTGGATAGTTTACTAAACACTCGAGAATCTAAAGTTTCCCTCGGCTAGCAGAATCAAATTGTGTTGAATATACTGAGAAAATGCTCTCGGTTACTCATGAAATACAAACTCAATCAATAGCTTTTTCTATATATGGACGATAACCACTAACGCGATTGTTCACATCAACATATCTGTTGTGATGCTTTTGAATAAAGTAAGACGATTCAACATGTGATATTGCAAACCAGTTTTTTCTAAAGCTTGATTTGTATTAGCTGGAATGGTTCAAATCATGGAATGTTACTGCGTCGTAATCGGTTTTTATGCCAAGTAAATATTAAAGGGCTATGAGACTATATAGGCTTGGGGGAGGGAAAGTTCAGGTTAATTATTTTTGCACGGCAAAAAATGAGAAACCAGAAACAAGGGGTAAAGAGTTATCCCCTGGTGTGGAACCGACAAAAGAGTAGTGTAATAAGTCTAAGCATCATGAAAAAAAAAACATTTTAAGTCCTTTAGAGCAACTGAGGTCTAGATGGAGCTTGAGTTCGGAGAACTATAATTCTGACACCATCTTTTAGAATGGCCAAGTTTCCGAAGGTAAGAAGTCCAATTCGATGATATTTACATTGCTTGCGTTAGGGGAAAAAGGCCCATGCAAGGTGTTCCTCTGACCTGTTTTAAAACCTACAGGGATTAATAATGACTGAAATCAGATTGTGATAAAAAAAGAGCCATAATTTGAAGATAAAATTAAATAACTCCTTTTGATCAAGAGGATATAAACAGTTTATTGGTTATAATCTCCTTGATTTATCCTGTTTCCTTGAACTGGGTGAAGGGTTGAAAGTAGTGCAATTGATAACTAGGAGAATGGGATTTTTATTAAAAATTTGGAACCAGGCTTTGGTAAATGTGCGGGTTGAAGAATGAATTTTCTCTTTTGAGGCTTATTTCGGCAATTGCTAAAATTTTTAGCTCACCTGCTAGTAATAAAGCTTCATTTGATTCTCAATACCACTGATGAAATGAAATTTACCTAATTACAAATTACATGAGTCCACTCCACGAAAAAGAAGAACCTCCTCAACTGTACCTCGCTTCCAACGTGTGGCTCTTTAGCTCAGTTGATAGTTGCGCTGGGAGGCACGAGTTCGAATCCCGTTTAAACCTAAAGTATATCCAGGCTTCAGATAATGGACAAATATCAGAGCAATTCTGTCAAGCAGAATAAAATCTATTCTTTATGTAATTATCATAAATGACTGATAATTACTATAATAGCTTCTCCATCAGGTTACTAAAGTCTGTGTATGGAGGACATATCCCAGATTTAGGTCAAACATTCTGGATAGAGTACATTTCAATTTTTCGATGATTTTCCGTAAAATGTTTTGGACACCCGACCTATTTCGAGAGCCAGTCAGTGTCTTTGAGTGGTTTGCAAGGCACTCAAGAAGCTAGCGTTACCCTCGGCTGTCGCCTTGCGCGACTCCTACGCTTCTCAGTTTTGTGCTTAGCAACCTCCCGCGTGCATCCAAAACTCAATAGTGTGCGCTATGGTGTTCACCATTTGTGAAATTTGATTTTCAATCTGCAGATCAAAAGAAAATATTTCATTGCGAATTCATAGATTAATGACGTGCAGAAAAATTAACCCGCTTTTTCGACGATGAACTGTTTTTAAATTATTTATGATCCGCACTGCTAAAAATATATGAAGGATGATGAACACAATATTCCCCTTTGACCTAACAATATGCCTGGATATTTGAA